TCTTCTATTTATTTACGATTTTCGTTATTTGTCGTAATTTCGGATAGATCGTCGGTTTGATTTTACTTTTTCTGGTACGATAATCGTCGGCAGATTTTTAAGGGTGCCGGTACACACTAAACTGTTTCTGAGCCTCTTCGAGTTACGTCTAATTGACGTTAAGATAAATCATGACGCTGGCATATGTCTGCATCTATAATCAGTATGACTAGTGTGACTTAGGTACGTAGTAATTTTTATACAAAGATATTGAGACAAAAAACATATACATAATTAAAAACCATGAGAAACTTTATTTCAATAATATAGCGGTTATTTCAAGTGAGAAACATCCCGAACCCTAGGTAATTCCTTCCCGCTATATCCAATTCCAAATTTTTTTGAGAACGTCTATCCATATCATACCGCAATATGAAGTACGAATATTCCCGGCGAGACATGCAATTTTAAAAGATACTAACATTTTTTGGGTTGTGCTGACTGATTGTGCATTTGCTTACAAGCTAATAGATAATTTTTCATTTAGGATCTCAAGGAACATATTAACTAATTAACATTACAGAAGGCAAAAAACATAAATTATTGGTGGTTTACTAAGGTCAATATTGTTAATTTCACTAGTCAAAAAAGAGATATTTAGCCCAGACAAAATATCAAACAAATTTAATAAAAAGCATTTAAAAATATATACTAATATAAACATTAATTATATGTGGTGCTATTTTTATCATTTAAATATTAAAAAATAAATATTAAATCTAAGCTAAACAAGTAAAACAAATTTATTTTTTAATGTAAAATTGTTTGCACATGAGTAGTAACGTCAAGTCAAACTTTGATCCAGCCAACAAATGCAAAAAAGATAAAGTAACATGATTACCGATCTTTTTACAATAAATTTTGAAGTCAAAGTTTAGTTAAGCTTAGATATATCATAGGTAAAATCAATATCAATTACTAAATAAAGTAATTCGAATACTTGAGATGAACATAAGAACAAAATAGGAATTCCTAAGATTGTTTATAGTTATTTTAATAGGTTAATGGTGTAATACTTATACGTAAGGCAGGAATGATAAGCAACTTTGTAACATTATATACGTATTTATGTATAAGTTTATTTATATGCAAAACTTTTTTCAAATTAAATAGAACAGCCTTTAAAAAATCTTAAATGATTACCCACACTCAATAAACCACACCTTCGTTCCCTACCCCCAACCATCCATTCAACATCTTCACCAACAACATACACATCATCCTTAAAACCAATTTTCCTTCCATCTTTATAAACCTCACCATAATAATCAATTATGCAGACATTCTTATTAAGTTCACTGATCGCTTTAAGAGTGACAGGTTCAACAGCTCTACAACTCAAAAGATTTAAAACTTTCAGATTCTGAAATTTTCTACCAATTATCGATTCACAAGTTATTTCATTACATCCAGTTACCATTAACTCTTGAATATTTGGACATGATGTGAGTATTGTGTGAATGCTATTTTCCTTTACATTCCAACACCAATCCAAGTTCAACCAACGAAGATTATCTTGATGCATTTGTTGAAGAGCTATATCACTCAAATAAGAACATTCAGAAATATCTAAGGAGTAAAATGAATGATTTCTAAGAGATAATCCCTTAAAAAAACCGCGAAAACTATGAATATATAAAAATATAAAAATTAAAAAATAAAAGTTAAAAAAAAATATATATATATATATATAAAAATCAAAAATAAACACCAATCAAAATAAATATCAATGTAAGAGATTACATACCCTTCATCGGTAAAACCCAACCCTTTTCTTAACCTCAAAAATTTTAAGCAAGAGTTCATGTTTAATACAATATCATGTAAACACTTGTCAGTTAAGGAATCACAAAAAGACATTGAAAATAAATTCAACTTTCTGCAATTCCTAAACACATTAATTATCGGATCGTCATTAATTCCTTGACCGTCGATCGCTAGATATTCCAAATTTTTCAAATAACAGGATATTCTATATATACTAACATCAGTTAATCTGTGACATCCATCTAAATCCAGTTTTGACAGATTTTCACCAAGAACAGGAGAAACTAGATCAGCAATTGTAAAATCCAATAATTCACTACAATATGAAAGGATTAAAGTGTTTAAATGAGTGGAAAGGTGAATTAAAGGCTTGATATCGGTTATTTCTTCACAACCTTCTAAGAATAATTTTTGAAGGTTTGGACAATGATTGCCTATATAAAATACTGTTTTATCAGTTATGTCGTTAACCGATAAATCTAATACTATAATTAATAAGGTAAAAACCACAAAGTTAAAAATTTTTTTAAAAATGGACATGGTCGAATAGTAAAAAACCGTTTGGTACCTCTTAGCGACTGACCAGGAAGTCCCATGACCAACTTTCTAACAAATTCGTCATCCAGCCCACTTGCTCTAGCGCTTAATGAATGTACTCTCTTTAAGATTTCCAACGCTTCACTTCCGAAACCTCTTGTATTGTAAACAATAGTTTCACGCCAGAGAGTTGGAGTGTAAACTATGTTACGAAAGGCTTTTGATACTCTAAGGATCTTGATTCTAGTTTGTTGATTCAGATAAGACAAGATCAATAAAGTTATTTCATTTGGAAGAGTTGGAAATGGTCTGTCACTATTGTTATTTGAAATTGTGCTACTAGTCGTTTGCTCCATTTAACAGCAAAGAGAAGGAATAAGTAAAGTTAAGATTTATGCATAACAATAATATCGATATGGTTAACCGGGTAAAATTGATTGACCAGACATTAAGATTTGTCATCATTTTTGGATAATTTTATCATTGCTGTCATTGCTGTCATTGCTGTTACGGAAATTCATAATTTTTTTTTTTACATCGATGGTATTGATGATGAAATGTTTTTCAAAGGTAAAAGGAAAAAAAAGACAAGAATAATAATTTTTCTTTTTTTAAAACGAGAAAGACGGGACTTTGCATCATGTATTCAATTAATTTATCTACCCTTAGCGCATAAATTAAATGTGTTTTTCCCATTTTTATTTTTTAACCAATGTTTAGTCTTGATTTTGAAAAACAAGTGGAGCCGTTATGTGTAAATATGTTAGATAAGAAGATTCATCGATCAATCGTTCATTATGTAAAATGTAAAATATATACGTAAAATGTAATTCATAATGTAATTCAAAATACATCATAATGTAATTCAAAACGTACTTGACAATGTAAATTCAAATTATACTTGATAATGTAATTCAAAATGTAATTCAAAATGTAATTCATAATGTAATTCATAATGTAATTCATAATGTAATTAAAAAACAACAATATTAAAAACAATCGAGAATGTTGCCTATTCTTTTTAACTATATCATTTACGGCAATTTCATTTTCCGTTTTTTTTAAAGTATGAAAGTTTAAAAAAAAAACTAGCATTTAATTTATACTTGTTCTTCAAGTCGAGATTTTAAAAAAAAAAAAACTTTTTAAGCGATCAATAATATCGTAATATCAGACACATGAAAAGAAAGCATGGATTGGATGTTTAATGCGGGCGTAATATCTATCGTGTTATATAGGAATTTTTATGTGTTGTATAATTTTACTATTAAGATGATAGTCATGCAATATTATGCGTATTTTATAAATCTAGCATATAATGAAATGTGATTTCATGAGATTTATAATCTAAAATTTTAAGGTGTGATGTTAGCATACCTATATCCGAGATTTCGCGGCGAACGAGCGATGAATGGGATTTACCTCGTGAAAAAACTCTTGCAGCGTCAATGCACTTGTCAAAAGAACTGTCAATTTTAAAAACAGCGGCGACTAAAGAAAAAAAAGAGAATTCTACCCCGCAATATTTATCGGACTCGTGACGTGAAGATAATAAGATCTTCCGATTGCTTCTAACTGCCATGTGCAAAACATGAATTTTGGAAACAACTGAAAATGGAAAAAAATCACCATATTGTTCATATTACAATTCTAGTCTGAAAGTGATCAAAGTGAGATTTCAAGTACGTAAGTATGTACATAGTACTTGCGTGGATTTGGGTCAATGCCTCCGATTGTCCTAAAAAAAATCTGTCAATCATACATTAAGAATACAATAATTGTTGGAAAAATTCAATTCCTAAAACTGTTGGGGGGATTTAAATGTAAGAATTATATCGTAAGAGATAATAATGATAACAAAATACATGTGCATATAAACTGTGAATGGTTGACGTGGCAAAATTTAACGCCATGATGCAGTTCTATGATTTCTCTCAAATTTTGGTGTGGAATTGATTCGGGGAATGTTCTATGTAACGTCACAAGGGAGTGACACTTGTGTAAATAGTAGGAACAATAGGCGGGAAAAGTTTTATTAATTACCGCAAGGATGCCACCCTGCAATTCCTCGTGAACTTGTCCTTATATACAAGATCAATGAAACGGGTTTATCTAAAAAAAGATCTTAAGTTTACAAATCAACAATGCAGTAATGTTTTTTTTCTTCAAGACAATGATTCTATAAATTCCTTGACATACGTGGAAGAATTCAATGAACTTTTTTCTTGAATTCGATGCAAACCTGATTGTAATATACTTTTAAGGTAATTTTTGATTGAATTCGCCACCGAAATTCTGAATAATCTTTTTTTTTTTTTCTATGTAGAATGAAAAAAAATTTTTTTTTTGATTTTTTTTTTTTTTTTTTTTTTACTATTATATAGAAGTTAATTATTTTATATTATATAATAATATATATATATATAAATCATTTACTTCAAAGGTGGCAAAGTATTAATTGAATTGATGGATTTTTTGGATTGTTAATTCTCATGTGGCAATTCCTTCATAATACATCGAAACAATCATTAAATCTGTTAATCTTAGTTTCTTAACGCCACAACGCCGGCCTCATAATTTTCTAATGGATTTTTAACGGCCGAACATTATATTCTTCTGGTGTGTTAATGCTTATTCATGCGGTGTGACGGTCAACTATCCGATCCAAATTTCTATTATTATTGAATGAATCCCAAAATAGGTCTTGAACTATACACACCGAGATAATGCCTCTCTAAGAAACGCCTATATTTTGTGTGGGGAAGAAGCTAATTTTTTTGAAGCCTTCACATCTCTACTGGGAAAAAGCATAAATACTCCAATATGCCGTTTACCTCACATATTCTTAGTTCATTTGCAACCATAAAAAGATTTCAGGCAAATTGAACGTTAAAAAAGTTAAAAAAATTTTCTGTATGATGGGCGAACATTATAAAACTGGTTTCCATGTTAATAGCTTGAAAAATCAGTCACGCGCTTGCGTCTTCATAGATTCTAGCGATCCTACATTACCAAATCAGGTAATCAACGATGCAAGACCTTTCATAAAATTACCTTTCCCTCCAACGATCGATCCGCGTGATTTAATTACCGTCCTTCCTGATGGTCGTGTTCCTACCCGTGCACCTAATGCATTTATCATATATCGTCGTGCTTTTATTGAAGCTGCGAGAGCTGAAGGTTATAATTTTCCGATGAACGTAATTTCATCAATGACGTCACAATCATGGGAACAAGAACCTCAATTTGTTAAAAATGAATATCGAAGGCTTGGTAAAGAAGCTTATAACAGACGTAATGAGATGTGCCCTGATTCAAATCAACGTAGAAAAAGAGAAAAATGGAATCTAGTCTCTTTTAATAAAAAAAAATCAACTGCTCGAAAAATCAAAAAATCGATTCAAAAATCACCAAAGAAACCATCGGATTTCAAAAATCAGAATCAACCTTCAGAATCTGATCAATCTTGCACCATTGATTTCAACTCTGAATTTACTCAAAAAATGAATGATGATTCTTTGGCAATGTGTGATGATTATTATGACGATGAACATTTTGATTGTTGTGAACTTTATCAAAGTCCTGAACTAAGCTCCGAAAAAAATTTTGAGCAAAGTTCTGAACAAAGCTTTGGACAGAGCTTTGAACGGAGCCCTGAACAGAGCCCTGAACAGAGTCCTGAACAGAGTCCTGAACAGAGCCCTGAACAGAGTCCCGAACAAAACCCTGAACAAAGCCCTGAACGGAGCCCTGAACGGAACATTGAACAGAGTCCTGAACAAAGTCCTAAACAGAGCTTCGAACAGGAACCTAAAAACTCGGATGACAGTTCTCCAATCATTAGTAACGAACCTGGCTTTCATTATGATTACTCATACTTTTCCGATGGTACTATCGAAGAATCACCTCTCCAAACACCAGTTCGTGAAACTTTTGAACATCATTTTGAATCTGTACCTTCATTTGACAATAACATTTACACAATTTCGAGCGATCAAAATGGACTTGAAGAAATCCATAAATATAACGTTAACAATCAAATATCTTCAAATCCACTTGGAATTCATGAGAATTTATTCACAACGGAGGCAGATATGTTTGTATTATCTAACTCAAATGAGCTGCCTCTTATATTTGATAATGTTACGACATTATATCAAGGCGATCTGAGAATTGATTTACCTTGCGGAGTGGATTTTGCAAGTCTTTATTATTACTAGATGACGAAAACAAAAAAAAAAAAACCTATATATTGAACTTTTGTACATATATACATATACATTTCATTATTTTATCCACACATATATACATATATATGTAAAAAAAAATTGTTTTTTGAGACAATTTGGTTTCATTTTTCTATTTATACGTACTTTTGGGAATATTTGACGAACAATTGCCTGATTCATATACTTATCCTTTTTTTGCGAGTCATTTCTTATTGATCCCCCCACCCCCCTCCCCCTCCCACTCCCACTCCCCCTCCCACTCCCCCTCGCCTTTTTTTGTGAACGTTTAATACGTATAGCCACCATAATTTGTGCTATTGGTTATTATTAGTTCACATGGTCAGATATAATATGCATTTATGAAAAAATAGTGATGTTTTTTTTTGTTTTTTTTTTTGTGTTTTTTTTTTTTCTTTTGTTATTTATCGGTTAAACCGGTTTAAAAAAAAAATTATGAATCGTTATTCATAATTATATGAAATAATTAATGTTAAGCAATTATGTAAATTTAAGGTTTAAGTTATACAGTATTATATAATATTTATGATAAAATTCTACATAAGATTTATAAATAAATTATGAACGTACATAAAACTATTATCATTACAGTATATCGATATATTTTTTTTTCTCGCGTTCTAAAAATGGATTTTTTTACCGTGGCGTAGTATACCTTTTTTACTCTATACAATCATTTCTTCATGTGATGCACCGATAATCTCTTACCATATCTGTATTTAAAAATGATTCTTTACCACATTTATAGAATAAATCGACTGC